TATTATATTATTATAATATAATTATTATTATAATTATTATGAAAATTATAATATAAACTATTATATTAAGTCAATGGTTTTTGCAGTGATTATGAAATTGATATACAAGCCCTCGTCACTTTTTACGTATACAATTTACCTATAATTTTAAGAAAAATGAAAAGAAAAAAAAGAGATAGAAAGAGAGAGAGAGAGAGAAAAGTGATGGATTCATGTTTTAAGCTGTTCCACGATTTAAACATCAAGAAGATGATATATTCGTACATATCATTTATATGTTTTTTTTCGTGTTAAACCTCGGTGGCGCGCAAAGTCGGCTCGTTAAAAAAGTTTCGAGATTTTTTATGGGAGTAGTCCCCCCTCTTGTACAGTGGGAGAGAAAACTCGTTCCTTTCCGACTAACACCCTCTCCCCTTCCCTCCCCCTTCATCTTTATTCCCTATCTCTCTCTCTCTCTCTCTCTCGTTTTCATGTTGGGGGGCTAGTATTCACCCTACAAAAGTGGAACGCATGGAGAATACGATAAACGGTTGAGTTGCAGTAAATGTAACGACCTAAAGTTTAACGTATCCGGCCAGTTTCTTCAATTTCCACGATCTACTACTACATTCGTGAAAAATAATAGTCAACCCGAAAGAACATTATGAAAACTAACGAGAAAAACGATAGCTGATTTTATATTTTATATTTTAGACAACCGATATGTAAACCTTTACACCATTTTCAAAATAAACGTTCTATATTTAAGGAGCACACTTAGTGTGAAATTTTGAAAAAATTGAATTTTTTTGTGCATATTTCGATAGTTTATATCTTTAAAAATAACATACTGAAATTTCAAATCCAACGATTACAATATATGACTCGCGTCGAGTCATAAAAGAATGATTCATTGATGAAAGAATGATTAAAATAACAAACGAGAACAAGAATAACGTAGAAAAAAGAAAAAAAAACCTAACTTTTTAATTCGATAATAAAATAATAAGAAATGTCTATTTTAAGGGGCACACTTAGTGTGAAATTTTAAAAAAATTGACTTTTTGTGTGTGCATATTTTGATAGTCTATATCTTTAAAAATAACATACTGAAATTTCAAATAAAAAGATTTCAAATAGTCTTAGAGTTACAACCTTTTAAAGAGTAGCCACTCAGGGATTAGAAAGCAATCATTTTATCTTTGAACGCTTTTTTCTGAAAACTACATTTTTCAAATTGGCTGCAGTTGAAACTCGTACAAGAATCATCCGATCGCTTTGATTTTTTTTCTTCTTATTTTATATATGTTTTTTTGTACAATGACCTAAAAGTTTGTCGATTGTATAAAAAATGTAATTTTGGCGGGTCAAAAATCATCCAAATTTTCAGCAAAATTCGATGTTTTTTTTGTTAAAAGTCTGCCATTTTGTTAAATTTCAATTTTTTTTTTCACAATTTTAGGTCATTGTATAGGCAATACCTTCTAGATTAACAGTATTTTTTTCGGTGAAGGCCGAAATCACTGCAGCCGTTTTAGGCCCTTTTTTTATAGTAACTTGGGAAATAGCGAATAACTCACTGTAAATGACCTTTTTTCATTTGAAAATTTTAGTGAATATTCGTTAATTATGTATAAATATATCCTCTAAATTTTAAAATATTTCATACAGTAGTTTTCTTGAAAAAAATTTCTAAAAATCACCTTTTTTTAGGCGGTCACACTAGGTGTGCCCCTTAAGTACAAAGATTGCAACAAGAATGAAAGAAAAAAAAAGAAATAGTTAGTTTGTAACGTTGTAACTTGTTTCATTTGTTAATAAGAAGGTATCATAGGGAATTTGGACATGAAAAAAAGAAGTAGAACTTAATTTTGATAAGTTGGATGTTTCGTTCCTTTATTGGGACTTCTTCAGCAACTGGAAATTTTATTTTATTGTTATTTTTATATTACGAAATACATGAGACCCATACATTATAAAATATTACATGTTACCTTAATCTTTAAAGTTCAGCGTCTTTTTTCTTTAAGTAGACATACATTTTTATTTTTATTTTTATTTTTAATATTCAAAAGACATTTGTTTCGTTGCAGGTTCTCGTTAATTTCTCGGAGGAACTTGAGGACGAATCAACCGATTCTGCGAGAAATGGATTCACCAATGTTTGCTTCAATATGGATAACATTCATATGGAAACTTTTTAAGGATTTCAATACTTAAAAAACACCATCGAATATTTTCTTTTCTTATTTTTTTGTTTATTTATATATATATATATGTATATGTGGCCACGATTAATCAAAGAGGTTTGAGAGATCAATTAAAAAATTCCTGAAAAATGTTTATCTTTTCATAGACAATTTTTAAAGTAGTTCGATGTGTAAATTTTAACATTTTCAAACAACAACGCGACATTTACGATCTTTTAATGTATTTTAAGTTCCTAGACTGCGTTTTCTTTTCGAGATGGTGTTTTCATATTATATTTTTTCTATTTGTAATTACAAAACAGAAACAATTTTTGAACTACTTAAGATTTAGAATATATATATATATATATTTGTTTAAGATTGACGATAAAAAGAAGAGTATTTTTCTAACGGTATGCGATTTAATTAAGAATAAATTCTAATGCGTAATTTATAATAATACAATTCGACAGTTTATTATTTTCGTTTGAAACTTTCCACAGTGTTATATTTATAAGATTTTATTTAGGAATAAATTAGATTTAATAACGTTTTTAACGAACAAAATTATCGCTTTATGATCGTCTGACATGTATTATTATATTATCATACATTTTATCTTCATTGAAATTTATATTAATGCATAAAAAAAGTTTAATGCAAGACATTAAAACACTTTCTCAAAGTGTGGATCGTTTTCGATTCTCGGATAAAGTGTCGTCAAGAAATTTAAACAAAATTACAAAATTCTTGGATAATCAAAGATCTGAAAAATTTCATTTTTCTGGTTAAATTGAAAAGTTTCATAAGCCCTAGGTTTAATGTAATCTTACGAAGTTAAAACAATAAGAAGATTTGATGAAGCATACGGAAATAATAAAACTCGTGCGAACGTTAAGTTCCGTTAATGGAATTTGATTGGTCGATCGTTTAAATATCCGTTTTAAAAGTATGCTGCCGAATGGATCGACGATAAAAGTGTGTTTTAAATTGAGATGAAAATTATCGTTATAATACGTTTTAATATGTACACGTGTGCATGTGTGTACTGCATACATTACATTTACCGAACGTACTTCAATCGTTCGACGTATTTTATTATACTTAAACGACAAAATGGAAATTATCGTATAAAAATCGTGGAAACCAATGTTTCAGTCATTTATCTTTTTATAAATGTAATAAGAATTCCATACAGATGAAATACTATGCAGAGAAGTGTAATGCTTATTACTATCGTTATAAAAATGTATTTAAAAGAAAGTATCCATCACAAACAAACTTGGAACGTTGTAAGGCATATAGGCTGCGAAACAAAATTGTTTTGTTACGTTAAAAAAGTATAACTTCTATACGTGCATACATAAATACACACACCAGTTTTTTTGTTCTTCTATAGCGAATAAGATATCCTTTTATTTTCTTTTTATGATTTTAAAATGATTTAATTCTCTCTCTCTCGGACAGAAAAGAAAAATAGTATAAAAAGCGTATTTCTTATCTAAGGAAGGATAAGATTTTCAGTCTTCTTCAGGCTTTAGATGGAGTAAGTAACGTGATAGTCCTTTTCAAGGATAAAGAAGGAGTAGTATATAGAATAAAGGGGATAGAAGAAAGGATCATGATAAAGGACAAATGCCACGATGGAAATTAAAATAAGAGAGTTGAATATCTTTTCTCTTTTTCTTGCTGAAGCAAGGGGTAAAACTCGCTCTCTCCTCCTCTTTCCCTTCCCCCCTCCGACCCGACAAGGGTAAAAGAATCTTCCCCATTTCATGGCTTTACCTGCGTTTTATCACGCTTCTTCTACTTTACCCCTCGACCAAGCAACCCCCTCACCTTAGAAGCGCCCCTATCTCTCGGAGTTTGTTAAATAGAATTCCCTTCGTTCGAGAAGCACCGAAACTGAAAAATGGATCCGCATCTAAAGAGTGATCTAACGTTTAATCTTCTAGTAAGATATTTCTGAAGGAAAGAAAAAAGATTGATCTACGATATAGTTTATATTTTTTTTTTTTTGTCATTTTTAATTTCTTACAGTTTCTACTTTATATAATATATTATATTTGAAAATTGTTAATTTATTATTAGGGTATGACAATTGGTATAGAAATATTTTCCTTTTTTTTTCTTACGTAAACAAATTTTGTATTCCTCGTCATGGATATTACATTTGTTGTATCATAATTATTATTTTTCTTTTTTTGATTCTTTTTTAATCTAATACATATAAGCAAAGTTGTAATTTATTATCAAGGATGATTTTTAGTATTCAAATTTAAGGTAAAATATAAAGGAACGTTATGTTGAAATGAAAGAAATGTGTAAGGAGATATGATACGAAAAGCGAAAGAGAAAAATATTTTCCATCTTGTGTTTCTCATTCCCGTTAAACGAGGAACAATAAATTTATCGAATGAGTTTGCACGTTTCTCATTTAAACCACCTTCTCGTTGCTTTTTCATTATTCATTACACAACCAGAGCTTTTCCATCCTTTCACTCATCTTTCTTTTTCATTTTTCTTTCTCTTATTTTTTCTCTGACTCATCTCGACACCTTTGTTTTAACTTATAATGATTATATTCGTGGGATTTGTCGAGAAGAATAAAAGTAACGGACGATATAAAATGACGACGAGACGCGTCTTCGTTTCTCACGGACCGATAAAATTCGAATTAAATGTGTTTGGCAGAAAAAAAAATATTACTCAATTTTCACGGATGACCGAAAACGTTTTGCGTTTTATTTCATCGTTCCATTTTTTCTTTTTCTCTCTTTAATTTATATATTAATTATTAAAATATATTAATCTTTTCATGAAGTAGCATAAAATAAAATTGAAATTTAATTTCTTCTTATTGGGTATTATTGTTGAAATTTTAGAATGGATGTAACAACAACAATAACAACAAAAAGTAAAAGATCATTGAAAGAAATTTCTGCAATCGAGTAGATTTTAGATCGGGGTGTCATCGTTCCATATTTTCTTTTTCTCTCTTTAATTTATATATTAATTATTATTAAAATATATTAATCTTTTCATGAAGTAGCATAAAATCAAATTGAAATTTAATTTCTTCTTATTGGGTATTATTGTTGAAA